GCGATATGTGTGTCTCACACCTGTAGTCCCAGCACTCTGGGAGGCTAGTGGGGGGGATCACTTGAGCCCAGGAACTCGAGGCTGCAATGAGCTAGGATTGTGCCCCTGCCACTGCACTCCAGCCTGGGTGACAGAGACCTTGTTTCTAAAAAAAATAAAAACAAAAACAAAAGCTTTCATTGGTTTTTATTTTTTTTTAAGGAGAGCTTTTATAAAAAGGAGGGCTTGAGAATGGAATGTGGGTTGGTTTAGGATAAAAATGTCATTATCTTTTCTCACGTACCCAGAGGGCTTTGTCATGCCAAAGTGAAAAAAAGAATTACAACAAAAACAATCCAGACTCCTTCACTACTGAAATCTAATGGCCATTTGCTCTTTTTGGAACATCATTATGCCCATCACAGGATGTGGTTTCAGTTCTGGGTGAACAGTATTTTTTCTTCCAAAATTTCAGCCTTAGGATGGCAAATTCTACATCACAGCATGAGGATAAATTGCCTCTGGAGTAATAAGGGAGAAAATTGTTATGTACTTTTTACATCTAAGGCCCTATTCCAGCTCTAAATTTCTGTAATTGAAAGATCTGTGGAAAACATTAGCAATACTCATGTTGCACAAAGAGATAAAAGGAATATGTATCATTAGGGTCTAAGACATTCCAGGAAATGCACAGCTGTGGGATCGGGCACCTTTTGTGCTCTGCGTCACTTCCTCTCAGCCAACCTTTCACACCAGCCATTGCTACAGCAGCCTGTTTTCCACAGGTGTAAACAGACCATATCTCACTTAGCAGCGCCACACTTTTGCTTTCCACCCAGAGACTTCTCTGAATCCTGATAAAACACATGCTGCATCACACACTCACAACATGGAGGCATAAGGAAGTTAGCCCATGGGGCATCCCTGGACCAGTGGGAGACAGATGTGATGAATGATTGCCTTCTTTCAGACAACTCTAAGGTCCAGTCCATATGGCTCCTCAGAAGGACCCAGCAGGACAGAGCCCAGTTGTCCCTAGTGGTGACTGACTCACAACACACTTTCCTGTAGCCTTTCCCTTCTTCCCTCTTTCAATCTTCCCATTCCACCACCCCATTCCTGTTTCCTAGGATCACCTCCCCAAATAAACTATCTGCAAGCAAGTCCTGCTTTCTGGAGAATTCTAGGCTAAGATTCACGTCACGTCAGTTCCTGGGCTCAAGTGATCCCCCCCACTAGCCTCCCAGAGTGCTGGGACTACAGGTGTGAGCCACTGTGTCGAGCCCCAAAGAAAGCTTTAAAAGCGGGTAAACTATCAGATATTTTACAGACAAGCATTATTCTTGAGAAACAGGAAGTAAATCACCTATGAAAATCAGTTTACCAAAAACACTTTCTCTTTTTACTTACCTAAAAAGATCTTCTTCATGTATTAATAGACCAAAGCAGCATTCAGTCATTGTGGAGACAATATAGACATAGCAATATTGGTACGTTAGGGTCTCTCACAAACCTGGAATACCATTAGACTTCAAAGCAGAGGTGTTGTACAACAGGTATTAAAACAACCCTAAGAATAGAATGCCACCTTTTCATTGACCATTAAAAATCCAAAGGGGTCCTTTTTTGCTAGGTTTGGATACAAGAATACCATTTACTATTTAGTTAAGATCTCCGCTCTTATCTAAAGGAAAGGACCATCTAAATCCAAAATCTCCATTTGCATCAAAGAAACATCTAACCACAACTTATCCACAAAATTGGATCATTTCACAGTACTCTGCAATGCATTGGGTTTTTTTTTTCAAGAAAGCAAGATATGAGATGATAATTATATGGCAGAAAAGACAGAGCACTTTTATATGAATTACTTGGTGAGCCCAAATTTTCCCACGCCCTATGAGGGGTAAATTTGGCAACTGGAGATAATACAGATGGTGACTGGTAGGAGAATCTTTTCATTGACTCCAGAGGTCTTTTCGTTTTCTTGGCAAGAGGGAAGCGAGGCCCTTGTTCACCACGGTCAGGAAGGAGGATGTTCTCTCCCGGTTATTACGCAACAGAAATGTGGCAGCCAGAGACATTAGACATTAGAAGGCCACAGCTAGTTCACAGACTATATGAGCCAAAATTCTTGACGATCTGATTGTTTTAAAATTCAGAATCCTATAAGTATCTTAAATATTGACTTCCTTTTCCTAAAAATAGTTTGCAAGCAAATTTTGTCCATTGGATTTTGGAAAACTGAGTCACCCTGCGACACTGCATATTTTTAGCTAAAAAGACTAAGTATGGCCTGCAAACAAACAAGATTTGACTAAGTTTAAACAGTTAGCATTTTTATTGTATAACCAGTGGATAAGTCCCTATGAGAAAAATGAAATAAGGTATTGACAAAATAAAGACATTAAACTTCCTCCACCTTTCTAATTGTGGGATAACTTAAATTTGTACAGGAAGGAAAAAGATAAAATTGGTTTACAACGAGTGCCAATAATTGTCATCTATAGGTCTTAAGATTATGGGTGATTTTTAATTGTTTTCTCCAATATTCTAAATGTTTTACATAGAATATTTTATGCTAAAAATTTTATAAGAAGAAGAACCCACTAGGTTATTTCAAAAATTCATTTATAATACAATATAAGTAATTTGTGTGGTCTTTTTTTTTTTTTTTACTTCTTTTCCACAGCAGATTCTACAGGTATGTGTGGTCTTTTTAACTGAAGGTTTATTCAGTTTTCTTGAGAAATCTATGAGCCTTGAATAACAAGATGAAAGCACACACCCAGATCCCTTTAACCATGGTTTTATTTGTAAGCATGCAAGCATATCTCACAATCAAGTAAGAAGGAAGTTTGAGAAGTTATCGTTCTTGATTGAAATCAGGAGAAATGAAAATAAAAATGACATCAGAATACTTATTTTATTAAAAAAACAGATAACGATGAGTGTTAGTAAGAATATGGAGAAACTGGAACCCTCATACATTGCTAGTGGGAATATAAAATGGGGTAGCCACTTTAGAAAACAGTCTGGCAGTTTGTCAAAAAAGTTATTACCATATGACCCAGCAATTCCAGTCCTAGGTATATACTCAAAAGAAACAAAAACTTATGACCACACAAAAAACTTGCACACAAATGTTTATACAGCATTATTCAGAATAGTCCCAGTAGAAACAACCCACATGTCCATCAACTGATGACTGGATGAACAAAATGTGGTGCATCTATACAATGGAATATCACTCAGCCACAAAAAGGAATGATGTACTGATATATGCTACAACATGGGTAAGCCTTAAAAACCTTAGGATGAACCTAAGTGAAAGAATCTAGACACAAAATACTATATATTATATGATTCCATTTATGTCAAATATTCAGAATAAGCAAGTCTAAAGAGACAAAAAACAGATTAGTGGTTTCCAGGGTCTTGGGGGACAGGGGAATGGGGAATGACTGGTAATAGGTACAGACTTTCTTTGGGGATGATAAATTGTTCTGGAATTTTATAGAGGTGATGGCTGTACAACTTTGTGAATATACTGAATGATATACTTTAAAATGATGAACTATGTGGTATATGAGTTATATATTAATTAAAAAATAAGAATACATAATTCAACTACACTTTTTTTGCCTCTATACTTTTAGAGGCACTTTTCAACTCAAGACCCATTTCCATGTTTTCCTGGTAATGTGCTTCCTATTATAGAAACAGGAAATTTCCTAAAAGGATTTGAATAAAACCTGTGGTAGGGGCAATCAGGGACTTTCAAAGACCCACATTTTTGGTGCAGTTAGAAAAAACAAAACAACAAAAAAACCAAGAATGAAAAACATTGTCTTTGCCAATGGAAAGTTCATAAACCTAAGGGCATGGAAGGGCATTTAAAAAAATGAGCCCATGAACAAAGATTCATAAACATGAACCAATAAGTATGCAAAGTCTGAGAGTAAGTGCTGGGAGAGAAATTAGGGGAGTTAGTTCAGAGATGTCTTTATCAGGAAAGGGTAATTAATAAGAATAGAAACCACATCCAGACAATTAATTACTCGTTCTATGGAAACTTTAGAGGTATTTCATTTGAACTCTATAAAAATTGGTTACTTCATCTACTACTCATTAAAGTGCAGAAACCCACAAATAAATTAGAGGTTGAAAGTTAAAATAGGAACTTAGCGTTATTCAATTTTAAACCCACTGCAATTTCAGAAACTACGGCCGTATCAAACACAGTGGTGTTTTACAGCTACAATAGCAGGATATGAGAATGCTGACCAAGTTTCCCTCAACACACATCAAGAAAGGCAGGGACATGGCACCCTCAAGGGCCATGCTCACATTCCTTTTGCTCCCTCCCAGGCCTGCACTTTGGTGCTGTCTGTCTTCTGGGTCACAAAGGAGTCTAGGATGGGGTTGGCTCATTTCTGAGTTTAACAGAGAGGTTACATGACTCACTGAGGGCGACACAGCTAGTAGGTGGCAGCACCAGGACAAGCAGTTTGGCATATTGACTCCCCAATGATTACCACATTGCATCTTGCATTTTAACTTCTTTGTATTGAAGCATGACAAACATATAGTGAGACATAACGTGCACCAATCTTAAATTTACAGCTCAACTATTTTTTTTTTTTTACATAGACACTCGGGTGACACTTCACCAGTCAAGATATAGAGCATAATCAGCACCCCATAAAGCTCCTTTGTGCCCCACATGTGATTCTAGTTTTCGCCTTTGTCCACTAGTTTGTCTGTTCTAGAACTTCAATGATATGGGATCATGCAAGTAGGCACTTTTTTGTGTCTGTCTCCTTTCACGTAACATAATATCTGTGTGATTCATTCCTGTTGTTGTGTGTTCTTTTAGTTCATTCCCTTTTATTGCTATGCACCTTTTTTTCCTCCTTTTTCTTGGGTCTACCCTTTTCTCTTAGATGGGTTATTAGGCTCAGTCTAGTTTAGAATATCTGGCAGTGAGTGGCAAGGAAAAATCCTCCACACCTGCAGGTAAGTGAACAGGACCCAGCTGGCCCAAAGCTCTGGTCTGCATTTCTACGCTGAAGCTATGGGCCCCGCATAATGACGAGGGGACAAAATTACTAACAAGGAACGATGTATCACGCCAAATAATCCAAACCCAGACATAACCGAGTCAGAGGGCATTTGTTCTGAGTCCTCTGAGGTGAACTTTGTCACTCTTTGTCCCACCTTTAGCCAAAATAAGTGGCAGTTGAATCAATGGCCTAAGACCTTCGACAAGCTATGCATTCTCTCTGGGCTTCAGATTCCTCCTTGATAAAAGGAAGGGGCTTGATGAGGTTTCAAAGGTCCCCCCAAACCAAAGAGAATTCAGCAAGTCAATGATACTCACTTATTTCACACTGCTCTCCCTCTAGTCCCGGAGGGCAAATACATTTTCCAGGGTAGAAACAGGTCCCTCCGTTAAAGCAGGTGGTCGAGCAGTTTGCTGTTAGAAGGAATAACGGGGGTGTTGTATGAGACAGTGGGTTCAATTGAAGTGAAAAACGTCACTTAAAGTGAGATGCTATTTCTTCAGCATCTGCTATGTGCCTGTTTACTTAATAAAGTAATCCGCTTTACAAACACAAAAATTGTAGCTAATTGCTTGACCATTTGCAGATTGCAGAACATAACAGGATACCACACACATAATATACTGCCCATCCCTAGGAGTTCACATCTTACTGAATGAAGAAAGGCACAGTGCATAAAAAATTATTTTTCTGGAGACTCAGACTTGTGGGGGGAGGGGAGGAATGGGCATTTATTGAAACCTTAAAATCTGTACCCCCATAATATGCTGAAATAAAAAAAAATTACCTTTCTTATTTTCTTCTAAATATCTATGTCTTTAAAAGGAGAAGAATGCTATAACCACCCCCCCCAAATGGTTTTGGTAAACATCAGGTTGGAGGATAAAGGAAGAGGAGAAGACTTACTCTGGAATAGCTAAAAAGGAGAGAAGCCACAAATATCAGGATCCAACAAAGGAGAAAGCAAATTTCTTTCAGAATCAGATGAACGGAGATTCACCTTACCTAATGGGATCTCTAAAAGATAACTTTTATGGCATTTGGAGAAAGGAGTAATTATATTCAGAACAAGGACTGACTGTGGGCCCTCATGAGATCCCATAGGTAGGGAGGTGGCAGTAGTGGGAGCCGTTGGATGTATTAGCTAGGTGGTAATCATACTGTTGTGAGTCATCCTACACCCTCTCTTTGGTGTCAGTTTCTGCAATGTCACTGCTCACTGCCACCTAAAATAGAGGGAAGACAGAGAAACGGGGACAGGAGAGAGGAAATATCTAAAAATAAACAAGTTGACTCATTCTGTAAAGGAAATTAAACTTAGAGCTTGGGTTTTTAGCAATTCCAGTTATATGACCTATTTGTTCTCATCCCATATAAAACAGGCCAAAATTGGCTATAGATGAACAAAAGCTAAAGTAAGCTTCCAGTAGGAAAATCAGAAAGGAAATCCAAAAATTCTAAGCGTATGCTTTCTTTGTGGAAAAAAAGGTCCAAGTAAAATGGTCTATGAATGTCGTGCTTCTTAAATGATAAACTTTGTGTTTAAAATCACAAGTATCTCCCAGCTTAAGCGATGTCGTACTCGCTTTGGTAAAATCAAGCCTCTTGAGGTAGAAGGGAGCAGCAGCATTTCAGTGTAGGATTAAGGGTTTAGGAGAACCAGCTCTCGGGGCCTTCTCTTTGCTACTTGCTGCTAGTATTGCTAGGGCTGGAGAGTTGTTTGTGTGTGTCCTGTCTCCCCACTCGTCCCTGTTTCTCCTGGGGATAAGAGGAGATGACAAAACGTTTGGATCAGTGCCCACGTGGCCTGTGCCCTGTGGGCCCTGTCCCTTACTGATGTGTAGAATGCAGTGAACCTGGTAGCTCAATTGAAAGCTATAGAATTTGACAACACTGGTTATATAATTTGGCCACACTCTTAGTTCTTGTTTAACATTTTACCGTCCTGACCAAGCTTCTCTACATTTCTGTCGTGTAATGATTCTTAACTAGAGAAACGAGCCAGAGACACTAAGTCTCTCTCCCTGGGGCTGAGGGTATACCGGCCAATGCTTAACAAACAACTAAGTTCCTAGAGTTCGGAACAGATGTCCCAAGGGCCAATGAAAGTTATTCTTTAGTATTTGTTCAAATATATAGTGCTAAGGTCCAGCTCCGTGTGAGTAATTAAACCATTTTTCAGAAGCTCCATACTCCCCTCTTGGATACTGAAAACATCTTTTTATTGAAGTAGTAAAAAATATTATTTCTAAATGTTCTCAGATTCTCCAGTGAGACCAAGTGGAATTTCAAAAGACCTTCCAAATGAATTTTTTAAAAATTAGTAGTAGGAAGATCTTTCATTTGAAAAATAAAATGTTACAAAATGTAAAGTGTGCTGGAATATAGATTCCTTCAGTAGTGACCATGCAGTGTTTAGTGCCACCATAACACTAGAAAAACATTGCAATTGACACTTAAGTGTGCAAACCACATCACTCATGGCCACGTGTACATAAGCAGGCCTCACAAATGATCTCTTGAAACCTGTGAATACATGAGTTCTTCATCCAAAATAAAGCAAATAAAGGATTTACTTTATTTCTTGTAGTTTTGAGATAATATGAGTTTAATTCTGCTGCAAGAAAAGCCCAGTTTTGAAATCTCAGACATGCTGAATGCTGAATTTAGACAAATAAAAAGATTCACAATAAAGAATTTTACTCACTGGGTATTAATTGTTATCAGTGTCATTATGACATTCTATGAATATACATTTGAAAAATGGTTTTAAATCAATGCTACAGTTTTCAAAGACCACTTTAAAGAAAAGGTGGAAATGCATTGACATATTATCTCAATGTCTCTATCACCTATATCTCAAGGGTGACGGACAGGAAGGTCAAAACTTAATTCCAAGTTTAGAGGTAGAAAAAAGCATGACCTACATGCTTCCTTTGAACTGCCTAAAAAAACAAAAAACAGAAAAAGAAAAAAAGGGAAAGAAAAAGCATGACCCACAGAGAGATTATCTGTCAGATCCAGAATCACTCTTGGAGGAACAGAGACCTGAATGAGGTAGCCTGGGTGGCAACATGATACCATGGAAGATGAGAATTTGGGTCAAACTACTCAAGTTCTATAGACCTCATTTTGCTTATCTGGGAATGAGATGGATAATACTTTACATATCTTAGAAGGTCGTGGAGAGTAAAATCAGATAATTGTATGAAAGCAATTGTATGACTTTGTATGTCATAAAATAGCAGACAACCATAAATTATTATTCTGACTCATGCTGAGGGCTCTTTCCTTTAGTTTTCCTTTCTTTAAAACAAAACAAAACCAAAACTGCTCATTGCGATCTTACTTGATACTGAGTGATCATTAAAGAGATACTTCTCAAAAATAAATTTTATCATTCTAATTCAATGCATATAGTTATTAACAAATAGCAAAATGCTCTATTCATGCAATTAGGCTTTTGGACACAAGGATAACATCATTAAATATACATACGTTGCAGCAATATTCTTTAATTTTTTTCCACTTAAAAGATGCAAACTGGGAAAAATAGACAAGTATCTTGCAAAGAGTATGAATCATCCAATAATATTTTAGGGCCAAGTTTGAATCACTAAAATTTGGCTATATTGCTGCAATGTTAAGAAGGAGGAACTTGATCTCTCAGGGATGTGGTCTGTGAGCAGAGTATTGAATTAGAAGTCAGCAAACTTGTAAGTCAGGCAATTTAGAGCAGATTGTTTAATTTTAGCCTTAGAAGCTCACGACACAACTGATATAGGGCATACCAAAATTCTATCTGTTAGAGATAAATAATTACTCACAAAAATTTGTGTTCCCTTCCCATAACATGAAGTGTCAGTGGGAGACAGCTCTCCAGCCCGGGGCAACATTTCTGCCTGCATCCAGAGAGAACCATGAGGCTAATTCCTACCCATGGAATAGGTGTGGAAGTTTTGCAGGTCACTTCTGGGCCAGAGCTTTTTTGATTTTTATGTACAGCAGTTTCTACTCTGCTGAACACAAATCTTTCACTGCTTATTGGCAGGACCTAGATAGCTTCAAAGCTCTAGGCAGGACCACAGATGGATGGTGCCTGGGCCCCTGAATCACTGCATGGAGAAGAACCTCCCTGTTCGCTGGCCAGGTATTCCTGCAGTGACGCATTCTGTGAGTCAAAATAAATTTTTGCTGCGTTAAGCTACCCTAAAATTGGGGTTGACGTGATTACAGCAGCCATCTTTACCCTAAGTGATACACTTTATTTACAGAGCTATCATAAAAAGTGATAACCTATTAAGTATACTTATTCTAATCAAACATTTTAAACATAAAAAGAACTTTGTTTTTAAAAAGATACTGTTACCTTTATCACAATTGACTCCATAGAATCCAGGTGGGCAGATGCAGAAACCAGGGGTCACACAAAGTCCGCCATTCATACATCGTGGGGTGCAAAGGGCTTATGGGGAGAGAGAAAACCTTGATTAAGGCCAAAGTGGATTTTGGAGCAGGTCCATTTTGAAATGTCCATAATAGGACAGGCCTACATTTGCAAGCTTTGTGGTTGACTCTAAAATGGTCACTCTTCATAAATACAAGTTTGCCATAGTAAACATTATTCTGTGATAGTTTTCAACTCCTCAGTCAACCACTTAGAAAAGACTTTTGAATTTGCTCCATTTGAATGCCTGATTAAATTTTTCCCAGAATCATTTTGACTAAGATGTGATCTTCTTAAAACTAAATATTTTCTCTCTGCTCTATTTCCTTCATCTTCCAATTCCAAGATCAGTGCAATGAAGAAAAATTTTTAAATATTCCTATTTTTTAAAAAAGAAATATTTTGCTTACTCTGGTCAAATAAGCTCTTAGTGTTTAACATAAGTATTTATCTTATGATAAATACCCATCTTCTTGCTTATCTCTTTTTTTCATATAATTTTCTTAAAAGTAATTTCCCTAAAATAGATGTACATACTAAACGAATGCTTTTTATCCTTTTTTTTTCTTTTTTTGCCTTATCATAACTTCATAACTCAGATGTGGTCTTCATTGTGAATGAAGATACTTTTCATTGGAATAATTTCAAATCAATGGTGATATTAGCTTTTTAAATCCAACTTAAGCAGAGGAAAAAACCCACAAACTTTCATGAAATTATGCCAAAGTACAGCACGTATGATAGTGGAGTGGGGTGTGAGGAATGGCCACAAAAGTGGAGCCATTGCACCAAAGATCTCTGCCCCTGTCACCACAATTGGATTCAACAGAAAACTACTCCTAGAAGAAATACTTTCAATAGCCCTTCTGTGTCTTTTTAAAAAGCTTCACCAATCCATATAATGGGACCAGAAAAATAATTTCCGGTGTTAAAAAAGTCACGTGGGGCTCCAGTGTGACGTCCACGTTCATCAGGAAGTAGGTAAGAGAAGTCAGCGCTCTGTTCTTTACCTTTCTCACAGTGAGGGCCGAAGAATCCATCAGGACACTCGCAGACGCGTCTTTCGTTACAAAAGCCTCCGTTTCGGCACCCTCCTGGGCACTCGGCTTCACCAAAGAGAAACAAGGCTTATATGCACACCCTTGAAATCACCGTGGGTGAATTACAGCCAGCATGAGACAGGCGTGGTCGTTTTTATTCCAGGCCACCAATTACTGTAATTGATTGAATATCTACACTTTGACCTCATTCTCTCTATATCATGTGGATTTCAGTAAATCTTCTTCAAAGCATGATTTTGCCTCTCCCTAATCTTATTTCCAACAGTAAGGGGGTCGTGGAAGAAGGTAAAGCAAGTTTTATTCTGCCTTCATCCCCACCCATCCATCTACTTTACCTTGTTAAATTCACACTGTCATAGAATGAATGATACTGACTTCACTATTCACATTCAGAGGGTGGGATGATGACTTTATGATATTCCAAGCATCGAAAGGCTCCAGAGCTTAAATGTTGTGCTGGAGAAGCTTGTATGGGGGTAAGAAAGGGGCAGGGCTTCGTGCCCAAATGGGCATTGGGGTGTGGTGGGGAAGTGCTGAAGCCTTGGCCTGGCAGAGATCACTGGCAGGAGGGTGGCGCCCTGTCCTCCTGGATGCTGCTGGCAGCGGGTATGGGTAGTGTTGCTCCTGACAGCTGGGAAAGGCTGGTAACAACTGGCAACCTTGCTATGAGGAACCAGAGCAAGAAAAGGGGAAATTCACGACCACAGGTGAGAATTGACCACTGGGGACTCCGAAAGATGGTGCTGGCAGGGTGAAAAGCAAGGAAGAAGAGAGAGTCTTTACAAGAGGCGTTGGAGTTCCTAAAATTGTAAGTGGGGTCAAAGCCAGGGAAAACCTATCTTAGCACTGTCACTGAGTCCTGTGTTTACCACCCCTCCTTCTGTTGGTGCGGTTATACAGCGATGATTCCAACAACCATTTTGCCCAACTCACACCCAGAAGCATTGTGAGCTTTTCCTTGAATTGCTATCAATACTTACCTTGCTGACATGTTTTAAAGAAGATGGCATTTTGAGGCGTCTGGAGGATGGTGTTGCCTTCAGAATTCATCACAATCACATTCACTTCGAATGCTGCCACCCCGTCTTGTTTTCCAAGACATGGGAAACCAACTTGAACAACTAAGAGAAAAAGAGAGAAAGGATAGAGAAAGAGTTTATCTGGTTGAACCCAATTTTACAGAAATCTTGAGAAGAGAGACAAAGAACAGAGCAAAAATGTTAACATTTCATTGACTTTCTCCTATCTCCACTGGATTACGAACTTTATTTTGATCATTAGGACATTCTTCATGGAACCTGTGTATCATGCTGGGTGCAGAAAGAATGAACGGCTGTTATTAATTTGTACCTCACTAATATGGAATTGGGGACATTTTGTTCATAGTTTGAGCTTGTACTGTCTTGAAAAAAATATTTTCTCTGGAAATTAAAGATATAAAAAGTAAGTACAGATTGATTAATGAGGGGAAGAAACTTTGTGGGCACCTTTCTTAGCTTCCATATGATCTCAAAAGAGCTAGAAACCAATATATCATAATCCATTAAATAAAGTCCTATAAGCAATACCCCACCGGTTATTTTTACTCCGTGTACTTGAAAGTGACAAGATATCTTCTTTGAAAATATTTTACAACTCAGACTAGACTCCAATCATTGGACTGAATTAATGAAGTTAATATTTTCTCAGGCTATTTGTTAATATGAATAAGTGTCTGCACCTTGGGGATCTAGAAGAGAGTTTGGCGTGATGAAATAATCTCATGGATAGGCTTATAGCTACTGGTTTAGGTTTCTAACGAGAAGCCATTTCTTTCTTTTGAGGCTAATGATGACTTGGTGTGTGTAGGTATTTGTTGACAAAGAATCTACAAAGCAGGGGTTGGGAACAGCAATTGCTGTACGAAGAGGGCAAGGAGGCTGGCCATTGGGGAATACTCACAAATCATTGGGTAGAACTCAGGTAAATCAGAAGTGACTATTGGCTGAGAGATTGTAAATTTCCAAGATCCACTGGATGATCATAACATATCCACTAGGAAAGAATGATGGGACTGATCCCCTAGACTATAGGTCTTCTTTACAAATACAAAAAGATATCGCTGATAGGTATACATGTGAAATTTTGCTTCATTTTGTTTCTGTATAGTAGTTTATGGTTACTGCCAACCTTGGGAAAATCATATCAAGCCAAGGAAAATCCTTTCTCCTTGGAGTGTTTATTACTTTCTCCCTAGGTTTATAAGAAAAAATGAACTGGAAATCGGTCTGGGTTGCATACAAGCTGCTCATACAATCTTCTTAATGTGCTTGGCAACCAAAAATCCCTCTCAAGGCTTTGGCATTGTCAGTGTCCCAGACTGTGCCATTCTCAAAATAACACGACTTTCCCCTTGAATCTTCAGGTTTGAGCATTGCAAATAATCAAATTATATAATGAAAAGGAAATACAGATCATTTAACAGAAATAAAAAGAGCAAGAAAACCAAAATTACATGTAAAGTTCCAAAGTAAAATTGTTCCCATTGAAAAACCTGGCTTAATGAAATCCTATATATAAAGATGCCAATTTACAAAACAAAACAAAAAAATCTATGAGATTTCTATTTCAGAAGGAAGCAAAGGAGTTGACAATTTCTTTAAATTGTTTGCTCTACTAGTGCACTTATACTTTATTCAATTATAAAATGTTATTTCCCTTTCTTATGAACCTTTTACATGGATACATGGGCCAATAATTGTTCTGAGGCATAAAAAGATGACAGAACCCGAAAGGACACTTGAAGGTAGAACTTTTAGAATCTTCCTCACCACATGCCATAATCCAAACTTTGTTTTCCAGGTGTATCTTTTTCCGGCACCTTATTCAGCCTCTACTTTGCAGCCCACCTAATTCTTTTAAAAAGGCACTTCGGTTTTATTTTAGCTTTCAGAATCTTGGTATGAAGAGAAGATGTTTGTAAGTAAACACATCTTCATTTCTACTCATCAGCATTGTCAAGTTTCAAAACATGTCTTGGATGTTAAATATCAAAAAATGTCTTATTAAATGTGCAGGAAATTCAGTTAAGAACAATCATTAGTTCCCTCCACATCTTCAGATGTGCTAAAAACAGACCACTTACAAATATGATTACATTATGACTACATGTTCACACACTCCAATTTTCAGTTGTCAGGGGCACTTCCCCAGGGTGTAGGGTACGCTCATAAAAGTGTGCAGTTTGCTAACACAACTTCAACATCCGTGAGAGTAAAGACATGCTCACAGAATTCCTTGGCCTGTACTGATTCTAGAAAACATGGCTCTGAACAATCCCAGGGAAAAACATTGAGGATGCAAAGTCTAATAGAAAGTTCAACAAGGAAAACACATCACAAGTGACTTTCATTAGGGTTTTCAAGGTTAACCGTTCCCTTTCAATGAGGAAATACAAATTTGAGTCAAAATACAAAGGGTTCATCCATTCCATGCCAGCATTGTTTACTGCATGTTTACCATGTGCTAGTCACTGTTCTGAGCACCAGGGATACTTTAGTGGACAAAAAAACCACAAAAAAACAAAAAACAATAACCCCATCCTTATGGAGCTTAAGTTTCAGTGATTTATTTTGAAGATATTTTGTTATAGTTAAATATTTTAATCATTTAAAAAATCTAGAAAAATAAAGTAGAAATTGAAACATGTTTAAAGCCACAGATACAACTTGGAATGGAAAGCAGCTGCAGTTTTGTTTTGGGTCTGTAACTACTGGATTCTTTGAGTATCGACTTTTATAATCTATCTCTAATTTGCATATATTTTAATTTTACAAGAGGTACATAAATGTCACCTGGGAATATTGCCTAATGTTTAAAACAAGGATCAGGTAGTGGGCTATGACCCACTGATTTGGGGGTAGCTTAGTTAAACTCTCTGGGCCTCAGTTTCCTCATTTGGCCAAGACTAAAAATAATGCCACCAAGATAATTTTTAGAAAATTGTATGAAAAGTTCTTTTACTTGAAAGTTTAAAGAAAAGTGTAATGTTGTTAGACACCATCAAAAATGCCTTTCATTTGAAAAAGTCTTATCAAAACATTCACACATACAGCATAGTTACAGCAAATTGTGCCAAATGCAAAAGAAACAGTCTTTTACATTTTTGAATGGAAAAACTGCAAGCAATCTTGGCAGATAACAAAAGATGTAGTATCTTCGTTTTTCTTAGTAAACCAATAGAAATAATATCTCTAAGAATTATTTTACTAATCTAAAATTATATCCAATTGCTGTTATTATTAACCTGAACTATTTCCCTTCTTTCATCTTTTAAAGATCTAACACACTCTAGATTTAAATTTTTTGCTCATTTTATTTATACAGAATAATTCCAACTTGACAAATTTGGCTTCAAGTTAAAAATGAACACATTAAAAATTCCTTTAGCCCAGGTGGAAAAGTCTCACCTACACATATCTCTTTTTAAATAGGAGTTATGTAAGTATAGTTACAATCTGAACCCTAAATGATTTGAAAAGAACTATGAAATAAAGTTTAGAAGTTAAGAGATACCTAGTTTATGGTTTCAATGAATTAAATTTTAATATAAAAGTATAAATTAATGAAAGATGTGATAAGTTATAACAGTACACTTGCCCAATTTTCAATTTTGAAACACAAAATGGAAATTTTATTTCCTCTTATGCAAACTGTACTACTTGTCCTCCTTTCTGCTTATATAAATTTTATCTGTAAGACCATTTAGATAATATAATAATAATTAAACACTCTTTAAAAGCTTAAAAATTAAACACTTAAAAAAATTTTGCTTTAGAAAAAAGCAACAGTAAAACCTGACTTTGGTTAGCCTTGTCTCCAGTAATTGCCATTTGTGAACCCTGTTTTCTGCCCATGCTATATTTCTCTCAATTCCCCAAAGATGTGGTATGTGTCCACAATGTCCAGACTGCACACCCAGCTGGTCAGAAGGCTCTTTCTCCTCTTTTCTGTCCAATGTCCTCCTGCTCAACTTTCAAGGCCCAAATTAAATAGTACTTACACTCTATAGCATTCTCTATTATCCCCACCTAAATATTTTCATTTATATATTCCACAAACACCTCTATATGTGATTTCATTGTTGTATAATGATTTAATCATGGTCTGCATCCTTTGGTAAGGAAAGGCAGGAACCATGTTTTATTTTTTTGTTGTTCTTGCAATCTCAGCACTTAGCCTATCGTCTGTCACAAACTAGGCATGGACAGATGCCACCTATATTATGGGAGACACACCCATACACCTTCACATCCACAGGCACACACTTGCCCGTACGCGATGCACACACCTGCACCCATGCACAGAGACAGAAAGTCACCATAGACAGTGAGAGATACAGACCAAAAATACTAACAGCATGCATTCAGAAAGACACATACACAAAGAAAAAGAGATCTCAAAGGCAGAAAAAGCAGAAACTCTACTTCCAAAGAATAACATAAATGTGAAAGTCATGTACTTCTGCAACAACACACATATGGGTACAGAGCCACTTTTACCAAAAGCTAGATGGGATTCGGCCAGATGGTGTGTACTCCAATGCCAGTCTAGGTCGTATAATCTAAAATGAGGTGAATTATTAATAAAACATCTGAGGAAAACTGAAGTAGGTTGGACACAACTCACGTGGCAGTACACAGACACACCCGAGTACTGACTGATGTGCAATTGATTGCACACCAACTAACTCTTATGTAGAAGTCAAGCAAGCTCATTCTTGTTGAATTACCTCCTCCACGCTGAGAAGGGCATGGTGCTCACACGGCCCCATCACTTGAGTCTGTGCCCTTACAACAGGGAAGAGACGGGAAAGGCTGTGAGAAGAGCTCATCCTCAACACCACAGGATCACAAACTGCTTCGTGACTAGCAATTACCCACGCAAATATTCATCAGAGCTTCAAGCTGCCCTGCCAGCCGTTCATTCTCTCAGCAAATAACTTATCCAGGCACCTACAATGAGTTTCACGTTCTGCTAAGAACTGGGGTCACCAAGAAGATGATTGCTCCAGCTTTAGCACCTATTTACAAATGTCTAGACATTGAATTCTTGAAAGTCTTAGGTGAGAAATACTGAATACAAGAGCATTCATGGTATGACAAAGATAGACTGTTAAAAGAGGCTAAGTCTCGGCTTTGTGGAAACTGTTTTTTGTTATACAACTCAGTAATTTTACTGAACCACCCTGCAGTTTGTATTTCCTGTTTTTGTTCTCTTCAGATGCCAGAAGGCAGGCACTTCATAACTGTTAAAGATCAAGAGTTTTATTTTTTTCATGCCATGTTTAGGCATATAGGAGTCTGTGGGATAAAAGAACAGTTTAGCAGCTCGGGGGAGTATAAAATAGCCCTGCCGGATAATGAACGCTACCTGGATGCTTAGGAGCAAAGACACACTGATTTGGTTACTTTTTAATAATTCAAGTACTTTACTTCTCCTACTGAGGGGACTGAGCTAATGAGCCTAATGAATAACTGCCCTGCAATGGTCTAAAAATTCCCATAAACTTCTTGCACCTGTATTTCTGCAAACAAATTCTACATCAGCTGCCATAAAACCATGTGTATGTGTGTGTGAGAGAGGGGGTTATATATGCAAAATGTGTGTGGATGTGTGTGCACACATGTGTGCACATCACCTGGTCCCAGAAGGCTTGTTCTTTTTCATCTTGCCTTGCCCAAAGTGTCACCCACTTTTCCTCTAAAATTGTTATTTACAAAGATTCTAAATTTTTAGGAAATGATGTTCTATCTGAACATGATCTATTGAAATATTCTCACATCATATGTTCAAAATATTTAATATCTTAGAAGTAGAAAATTTCAATAAGATTTTTTTTGCTAGACACAAAAAATGAGAAAACCTAGGAAGATTTAAGACATAATGGACGGATATTTTAAAGGCTATAAAATTACAACTAGATAGGATGAATAAATTCCAGTTTTCTATAGCACTGTAGGATGACTATAGTTAACAATAAAATATTATATAATTTCAAATAGCAGAAGGAGGATATTGAATGTTCCAAACACCAAGAAATGATAAATGTTCAAGATGCAGGATATGCTAATTACCCTGATCTTATCACTATACAGTATATGTATCACAATATTATGACGTACCCCATGAATATGTACAATTATTATGTATCAATTAAAAATATTTTTAAATTAAAAAAGACTAAAATTTTTTTAAAAGAGGGCTATGCTATCAATTATTTTTGAATACTATAAAGCTACAACCATTACAATACTAAAATAAACAGTAAGCTCTAAATAAACCCAATGTATAGGGATTAATTTCAAAACATAAAAGTAATGGAAAAAAATTGCAAAGGAAAAGATAGGTTTGACCACAAAGAATTTCAAAGCCTCTGAATATTGCCCCCAAAATAAAATAAAAATAATAATTTGACAAAAGTATATTAACAGTAAATACTTAATGTATAGCAAACTTTGCAAATCAATAGGAAGAACTCTATTATCTCAATATAAAAATGAGCATGATACACTCTGAAATCAGCCACATCACTCTGACCTGAAGATTATTAGGAAGCAGTATAAGAAGGACAAATTTGTTTCAGAAGGATAATGTCCTTAGAGGAGCAGCCTAAGAAAACAGAACATATTCCCATTGTTAACACCACTCTGAAGATGCTTAAGATTCAGAGGTGTGCTTGGAAGCCTGCCTGCTGCCCAGTGTGATTTTAGGGCTAAGAGAGAGTCATCCTGTTTCCTTAAAACATATCATTTACCCAAGTGACATGGTGAACAAATTCTACCACTGGAAATTTAAAAACAAATGAGCATGATACTAGACATTTTATATTGTCTAATAGATACAAGAAAGTATGTTCTACCTCAATCAGAATAAAACAAATCAAATTAAAAGAATACTATGAGAAATGACTTTTTGCTTTTTAAGCCAGCAAAGTAGTTAACATGATTAATGCCCTAAGCTGATGAGATTATAGTAAGCCAGGCTCTCTCCCACACTGGTAGCCAGGGTACAAACGGGTATAATAACCTTCATGGAAAGTAATTTGACATTTTAGCAATTTGTTTTAAGAGGCTTTAAAAAGTTCATAGTTCATATTCTTTGACACAATAATTCCACTTCTAAGAATCTATTTTAACAAAATAATGAGCTAACCACCCAGAGTTTGGTACACACATTAATCAATTACTCTCTGAGCCTGCTCTGTGCCAGGCCCTGTGTAGGGAGCCACGGTGAATAACAAACAGGGCTCCTGCCCTTATAGAGGTCACCGTCCACCAGTTTTAACAGGATGTTTATTATGATATTTCTATATGCAAACTCGAAAAACAATGTCATTAACATTAAGGGAATGGAATAAAACAATAAGGGAATGGAATAAATTATGGTATATTCATAGAATACAATAACATAAAGGCACTAAAAACAACTTTTGGAAAACTCTACAATGACATGGGGAAATGCTTATGTTAAAATGTTAAGAGCAGGCTGAGCATGGTGGCTCATGCCTGTAATCCTAGCACTCTGAGAGATGGTGGCAGGAGGATCGCTTGAGGTCAGGAGTTTGAGACCAGCCTGAGCAAGAGCGAGACCCCATCTCTACGAAAAATATAAAAATTAGCCGGGCATGGTGGCAGTGCCTGTGGTCCCAGCTACTTGGGAGGCTGAGGCAGAAAGATCACTTGAGCCCAGGAGTTTGAGGTTGCAGTGAGCTATTTTAATGCCACCACACTCTAACTGGGGTGACAGAGTGAGACACTATTTAAAAAATAATAATAATAAAAAGTTAAAAGCTAAAGAATCATGATGTAAAATTGCCAACATACAATATTGCCACACATAAAAATATATAGTGATAGAAAAAAGGCTAGAAAAAATATATTAGTATATTAACACAAGTGATGTCTGTATCTTTCTAAAAGTTGGAAATCCTGGGTTCTGGTCTTGATTCTACCACTGATTTGACTTTGGGCAAGTCAATCAAACCTCATAACGCTTAATTTTTTAACTTATAAAATGGAGCTGTAATTCTGGCTTTCACTCCCTCCCAGTATTCAATTTAGATAACATGTGACTGAGTACTTTGCAAGCTGAAAAGCTCAAAACAAATACCACGCACTACTATTTTCTTAGCAAAGAAGGATGATTAGACCTGGAAGGTAGAACTCCTCCCATTTTTCCATGTCTCTTCTCTCCTTCAAATTCCTATTTAATACAGTGTTAATTTGGGGGGCGGGAAGTTTTTTTGAGTTAACCCATTTGCCCCCAATCACTTACTTTGAATCTTTGCCATTTATATGCACTATATTAAATGATACTGATTGGTTAGCTATATCTCACAAAGTGTGTTTATTTTCTTTTTCCTTTCTTCCTTTTTCAAATATATATTTGTTTATGAACTGGATGTGGGCTGGGGCTATTTTGAGATTTTAGGAAATTATAAAACCATTATTTCTTCACTCCCTTCCTAATCCTTTGCCCAAAGGATAACAATTGAGCTGCCCTACAAATCAACAGATCCCTTCAGGAAAACATTTCAGACCCCCTCTGATGGATAACATTTGAATCTTAAACAGTATTCTCATCACCATTACATTTTAAGTGTAAACCTTTCTCCAAGGCAGAGACCACCCACCTGATGCCTTGTGAGGCACTGTTCCCAGCAGAGGGACGTTGACAGTTGGATCTGCCATGATGCCTTTATCCAAGGAGCGCAAGGACAGGAATTCATAGAAGTATTCTGCCTGCAACAAAAGGCACTGACAATTAGTACCATGGAAACCACAGAGAGTGAGAAGGCACTTCTCAACCCATCATCCACCTGATGGGAGAGTGATAATTTTCACTCCGGGAATTTTGGATCACATGACATCTAAGATACTATATAGGCATAGCTCACCCTTCTGTGTTCTACAACTATAGAATTAGACCCTCTGGAGAGAAGTGATTCCTTAAAAATTTGAAAAAAAAATTTATTCAAAACACCCACAAAAGCTACTCTTTTAACTTAAACCATATTATTTAGTTGCTGTCTCTTTGAAGAGTTTTTGAGAAAAAAAATTATCTTCCGGAAATAAGTGATGTCAAAACGATCATAGACTAGTCCTTAGAAAACCAACCTCAGCTACTTTAGTCATTATTTAATTTTTTTTAATTCTAAATTCTAAAGTGAGTCTTTTGATTAGAATTTGAGAGAGCTGTAATAAATAAGGGATAATGAAAATAGCAATCTATTGGCAAATGAAGACATTAAAGTCCAAAATAATCTTGATGTTAACATTGATTTTTTTTCAGTCTCACTCCCTTGGAAAGATTTATATTTAAGGTCTCAATTTAATTATGAAGGGAAAAGCCTAAAAATGCAAAAATTTCCAGTACAATATGACAACAAGCCACAAAACTTTACATTGTAAACATTTTAATTTTCCTATTAAGTCTCTAGTTGAGAAAATGATTCCTGCTACTCCAACAGCCATGAATACTGAAAGTAGTGATGCATAATCTCACCATGGAGCTTTGGTGCTTAACTTAAGTTGGGGTGAGGAATCTTTTCGAGTTGGAAGCCACATTAATTTAGCTGTAATCAAATAAGGCCACATTCAAGAAACTTTAATTAGATATACTTAAAAATGCACATTATTCTGTAAAAATCTAACTACTATGTATTTAATAATTTAAAAAGTAAAAGCTATGTGTTAATTTTAAAGTTAACTGTCCTTTTAATGACTTTGTTGTGTCTGCTTTTTGTTGGAAAATATTTGAATATTTGGTTGCAGCATGTAGGTCCACAGTTTTAGTTGATCTTTTCTATGGGTATCAGTCATTTGTGACTTTAAGGGAGTCTTCATTTGGGTTAGGTAGGAGAATGCAGATTTGCAGCAATAAGTGGTTGAAAAGCAAGAAAGTATTTTGGGGCATGTTGCTGAAAGCGTGGGTATTCTACTTGCATTTTCCCATATTTCAATTGGATCTTTCTTAGCATCAAACAATGACTTTAAAATGTCACCTACTGAGGGCTCAATCAATTCTAGCCGTAGTTCTTTAGGTGCCTTGGTGGTAGCAACTAAATGAGGCTAACATGCTAATTTGAGTGTGATGTCATGATTCTCAAAGTCAGTGAACTTTTCATTGTATTCAATTAATAGGTCTATAACAGCTGTGTATTCTTCAAATAATTTGCATATATCATCCTGGTCATCAATGACCTTCACTAATTGAGGAAAATGTTCAACCAAAATTTCCTTTTGAAGAACTGTTTTGCAAAAAGATTGCGTGTTTAAAATGCTTGGCTTTCCTGCCACATATCATAGATAGACTTAGTTTTACCTTTCAAAGAAGTATTCAAGTCATTTTGATTTGACATGATATCATACAGAAATGTTGCATTCCTATAGAAATCTTGCAATAATTCACATTGCTGATTCTATTCTTCATAAAATTTACCTATCCATCCTTGCAGAAATAAAATGTTGGCTAACACGTGTCCCTGTGATAACCAACACACTCTAGAATGATATGGCAAATCCACACTGAACACCTACCTCATTGTTCAACTTTAGCATGTTATTAAACTGACGATACCGTGTTGCATTTGTACAAATATAGTTAACAATACTTATAACTTGTTGCGAAGTGTCGCTTAAAATAGCAGCTTTATCACAGAGATTTTGCTGATACAAGGTAAAGTGAAATGAGATCATCTGGATCTGTTAATACTTCTTTTATCTGTGCAATAAACCGTTCCTGTTTTCCTGTCATGGAGGTGCACCATGTGCACATACACTCACTACACTTACCAAATTCAATCCAACTTCATGACATTTATCTTGAAGGTTGTTGAAAGTATCTATTTCCTGTGTTCTCTTCACAAGAGTGCTCAAAGTGAGTAACTCTTTGTAGCAAAGAAAATCTTGTGTTATGTCCCAAATGAAGTATAAAACCTGCACCTAGTCAGTAGTAACAGTTCACTAATCCAAAGCAATCGAATAATATATATTTTCCTTTGAATACTGGATGACTTTGTTCTGTTAAATTGAAGGCTAATTCATGCTACCAATCAGTTATGGTTCTCCTTGAAAGAGGCAGTTGTTTGTACTTTGAAATGTTATCAGGGTCTAAGCATCCTACAACTTCGACAACACATTTTTTCAAAATTTCTAATCACCGAATGGCTTCCCTTTTTTCCTGAGCCTATAAGCTACTTTATAAGTTGCTTCAGTGGCATTATTTCCAGGTCTTATTGCTGCTTGAAAGAATTATCTTTGCTTTTGCTTTTCATCTTTTAATTTCTGCAATACAATCTTTTATGCCTCTCCCTTTAATTTAAAATATTTGTGGTCCTTATGAGTGTCGTAATGCTGATGAGTATTGAATTTCTTTAATGTTGACATTGCAGTGTCACAAAGCAAGCAAATCATCTTATCTTTAGCAGAAACAAGATAATATTGCAATTCCCAATCCTCATTAAAAATTTATTTTCTTCCTTTAGCATTCTCTTGGTCTTCTTTGACCTGATGGGCTATTAAGCAGACAGAATTAAAAAAATACTGTCTAACTGTGCAACTATTCACAAATTCTACTTCAAGCAGAAACACAGTACACTATTATCAAACGCTGATACCAGACAGGTGTACTCGAGCCCCATAAACTCTTGCCAACCAGCCTTGTGTGGTAGTGGTGCTAGCCAGGTGGGGGAAGTTAGAACTAAATCATGAGTGTGGCAGCCATCAATTCAGCTCTTATGGCTTACTAGTGTTCTAATTATGCCAGTCATTCTGGGAGGATTACTTCATTGAAACTTATTTTATTCTTTGAAATTTTGAATACATTCATTTTAAAAGTAAAATAAAAATATAAAAGACGAACAAAAATGTATTAATAAAAATAAAAGGATTTGTTCTTTAAAATTTACATTCAATCTAAAGGCAGTATTTAAGGACCTAAAAGGCCACATGTGGCAGTAAGGCCCCAGGTTCCCATCTCTGGCTTAAGTGATTCTCAACTGGGTTACTAAAAGAGTCTGTGACGGAAACAATATTCTTGCTTAGGAATAAAGAACAATCAATAAATAGGACAAATTCTAACAAGAGAGTTAGGCCAATTGAGTGGTTCTGCAGTTGTAGAGATATCTAGAATTTGGGTGGGTTAATTAAATAAATTAATTACATAAACATGGAACAGAAGGAGGTTTAAAAAGAATATGACCTTTCCTACATGCACTACAAAAGTTATTTTCCAACATAGAAGATATTAAGAAATACATGGCAGACATTCAAACTACTTTCTACTTTAAATCATAGTATCATATATATTAGGCACTGAGAACTTCGTATGAGGATATTAATGCAAAGGGGTAATCTCAACTGCCATAGGGACACTGTCTACCTTTACAGTGAATTGAAAAACACTTCCTGGGCTCGCTAGGCCAAAGGGAGGACCTTCATTGACCAAATTCACATTGCATCTCCTTCTTTGAGCTGTGGCAGAGATTCCAGAAAACCACTGTGAACATTTCCTTAGGTGGGTAACAGAGCTGCATAAATTAATTCATTAAAGTCATTCACTAGGAAGGCCCTGAGAATAAAGGGTCATAAGACAGGTGACTCCTACCCTAAAGGAAGGCAGAGGTCTGAAAGAAGTCTGATGAAACGAGTGCTGTCAGGAAAGGTAATTCAATTTGGGATGAATTCCTTTGAAAAAGAAAACAGTAGTTCTGTCCGGGCAGGAAAACCAATGACTATTAAAAGTGGACTACTTTTCATGAATCCAGGTGTTTTAAATGACTTCTCCCAGCTACACTTCCCTCTACATTTTAGTCGATAATATTTATCATTTAACATTTTGTTCTGAAACATATTTTAGTTGGCACTATTAAAGAATTTAGTGGTGGATACCCTTATAATCAATAACTTTTGGATTATTCACATTACCAAGTACAGTAATAACAAAAAGCAACGATAACACAACAAACACCAGTATAATGTATGCCATGTGCCAAAACTTATTTTAAACATCTTATTAAAAGTACATACAATGATGAAAAAGAACTAAGTGAATAGAACACAAAAACTTTGAAACATAACTTCAAATCCTATATAAGTTATCATTTGCTATCCCATAATTATATCTTTGAGTTTCATCACATGAAAATTAAATATGCCTTCTATGTGTGATATATTTAAAAATTACATTTGTAAAAAGTACCATAATTTCAATTAAGAAATCTGATCTTTTAGTTTTAAAAGTGTTTTTTCATTAATAAGAAAAAAGGTGAAAGACTGGACACCAAGAGTAAAATAATGATTGTATAGTATTGATGGCAATTGATTTATTTCCTTTCTCTATTTTTTAGATCGTCTATATATGGCTCTATACCTTTTACACTGAAATAAATGTGTTTATTTAAAAACAAGCATTAACCACACACCCTGCTTTCAGTTCTGCGTGGCTGATGACAATCATTGACTCTATTTGTATAATTCTCTGATCATAGATGAAACATTTGTCTTGGACTTTGTATTTAGTGTGGCTATGCTCATGTAACAATTTTATTTAAAACTCTTGCACGTCTCCTTGAAAAAGTGTGATTCAAGAAAACAACAATCAACATTAAAGCAGCTTTTGAATGCCTCTTTCAAAAAGTTTTGATGATGTTCAAAAAACGTAGAACTGAAAGAATTTCACTCAGAGCCCAGAAACATAACTTCATAGAGCCTGCAGGTCTCCGTATGGCCACATAAGCTAGGCTGGGAAGCACAGAATCCGTTATATTCAGTATCAGAGAGTTTATATTATAATTGGCATGCCTGCTCCACATGATGCACCTAGGTTTAATGGCTTTCTCTGGACAGCCAATACTCTGATCTTATCAATAACAAGTTTCACACTACAGGTTTTTGGGTGTCCCTTTGATCTCGTTGAGAGCCAGTAAACATCATAGTTTTTCTACTGCAATTCTAAGACTGTGTGTGTCACAAGGCAAGAACTAATCAAAGCAGTTTCTTGCTTGAACCTTATTAGCAAAAGGCAGTTGCCAGAGTAAACCTTTGTTTGGTTGTCTTTCTTGTTAGAAATGATAATGGTGCTTGAATCTTTGAAATACATAATTTCCTTCATACAGGGTATATTTTTTAAATGGTTTTGTCCATGTACTGTTTTCATTGCCTTCTAAAAAATTCTAATTTGAAAATCACTTAGACATTGACCAGCATTTTGTCTCTGATCTTGACACTGACTTCTTTCAAAATTTACTTTGTCATTATAAAGAGATCTAGCAAAAACATCAATACCTTTTCTGTCATTAATTTACAATCATAGATGGAAAAATAATTTTTTAATGTAGTAAAATTAAAAATTTAAAAATTAAATTTATAAAAACATCAATACCATATAAATATTTCTACAAATATATTATCATTACCATGACATAGAGAGTAAATATGTCCTTCATTTACCTTAAGAGCTTAATGTCATAAAAATGGCTGATGAAATGAATGATAGATTTATGCCATATTCTAACTTCCATACAAAACTTTCTATTTTTATTTTATTTATAATATAATAAATATTCTTAGACCGAAATCTCTCCATTGGAAAAACTTATTTGGGAGCAAATAAAACCTACATTGTATGCCAAAGAGAACAGAGAACTAGCTTCATGGTGTGGGAACAAAGTTCACAAATTGAAGATTTATTATTTAGATAAAAGGAACTCAGAACAGGAACAGTAATAGAGAAGTGGCACATTAGAGAATTTGAAACCTCTATTAGGAAAAAGTATATTTTGTTTTATTAAATGACACTAGTGGAAACTCAGGCAGAGGCAAGCAGGGCGATTATTTGGGAAACACATGAAAAGATTGCTTTGTATTCAAACAAAGAATGGGTCTATTCAGAAGAATAATTCACTTCTAAATTAAGTTGCTGAAAATTTTTGCTGGCCTGGTTTGCGATGCAGTAAATTTTCTTTTCATAGGGAGGCATAAAAGACACCCAAATATTACCAAGAGAGGAGGGCTGGAGGTCATTTAACTTGCTTCCAATCTACTTGGCTCAATCTTAGGGTTGCTCCTTCCAGAAGAGATGAAGACATCATTTAAACAGCAAAATAGGACAACTCACAAGACCTTTGCTTTGACACTCTTTTTGGGGTAGACATGGAGAAAGGAAGCAAAGGATTGCTTTAACCATTGGGAGGAATGGAGAGAAGCCACTATTTCTTTTCCACCTTTGAAGTTCTGTGTTTATGGTGTATACCTAACCTAATAAGCACAATACTTGCAGGAACCTCTGAGTTAAGAATCAAAAGTCTTTCATAAAACCATGGCTCTCAAACCTCTTTTAACTCCATATATCATGATGCCAACCTAAGTGCTCACAGGAGAATAATAAAGGCATCATCTCTGTCCCAAAGAAAATTTCAGGTGTTTATAGATACAAAACACAGAGAAGCTCTAAGGTTGGAAATTTGCAAATAAATTTGTTGAGGGTTTATCATAATCCGATCACTGTTCATTTAATTCTCACAACAACCTACTGTTACTGTAGCATCCAAGTGAATTCA